TTTTTTTTTTTTTTTTTTTTTTTTTTTTTTTTTGTCGTATAGATTGACTGGCACACGGGCGGGTAGGTTTGCTCTCCTAAATGTTTTATTATTTTATAATTATTCATGAAATATTGTGCTCAACATGTACATTGAGAGAGCTATTCACTCACTGCAGGTTTTTGCCAATGTCAAGCGGGCGACGTATTATTTTTGATGAGGAGTTTGCTTTTTGTGGTTTTTTCATGAGGCAAAAAGTAATTACTTGCTCAGAAATTAATAATTATAGTGAATAAATGATTCGATGACTGCGCAATTATTTTGTTAAATTGTGGCTGGGGTTGAGTCTCAAACGTCTCCAAACGTGGCCCTGTATAGTGCTAGTATCTGTCCGCTTTGGTTGCTGACTGCATTCTTGCGCATTCTTACACTCTCGGTACTTTTAAGTATTTGAAAAATTTTACCTTCTTTATTTATTAGTTCTTAGTTCTACTGGTTACTATAGTGGAAGTTAGTTGTATTGCTAGTGTTTCGCCAAATTTTACTGTTAAGATACCGAGATGCAGCCACGGAAAGTTAGGTATTGGCAGTTTGTTCTTCTGCGTTTTAGTTAAGAATGGTTTGGTTAAGCGGGTCAGGTGGAAGTGCCGGGTTTGTTTGGCAAGAAAGCGTCAGCCAATTTTTTGCGCCAAATGGTCATTGTGAATATGCCAGTCCAGATGATGAAGATTCAGTAATGTTGAATAAAATAAATTCATTTTGAAGTGTTCAGCAATTTTTGATGTGCTCAAACATACGATGGAAATTTATCGGATCGGTCGCCAAGTTCTGGTGCGTCTTCTTGAGGATATTCCCACAGATTTGAAAAGACGTGTTTTGGGGGGATACACTGTCGTCAGTCCATGTACCAACATCGCGAAAATTTATGATGCGTTGAGGTGCTCTACTTCCGCTGCGCCGGATATGTTTGTCCGCAACATCCAGCGCAGCTGCTCAAGTTTAAGGAAAATGCAGTAGTAATCTTTTTTCAAATTTGTTTGGTGAACCTTCGAAAGGTGGCTAGACCAGCAGTTGTCTGTTTTAAATGGAGAGGGTGTTTGAGGACAGTTGTTGCGTGTCTTTCAAGTAAAGGTCAGAGTTCGCCTAGGAGTTGTTGACGGTGCGTCACATCGCAGAAATCTGCCTTGGAGGGAGGACTGCAGAGACTGGTTACTCTTTACATTTAAAG